AGTTTTCAAAAGGATAAAAAAGGGAATTTAATTTTGTTTTTATAGCATTTTAATTTAATTATGTGACTTATGTGGTTTAATTACTTAGTTGATTTAGTGTGAATTTATTTTAAATTAATTGGTTAATTATTATTATGTGTTTGTTTTATTTAATTGGTTAATTAAAATTATTTGTTGGTTGGTTTTATTTAATTGTTTAATTGTGATTAAATTTACTTCTTTGATTTATTGGTTTTAATTGACGTGTCTTTGGTAGATTATATTTGGTAGCTTTTATAAGTTGTTTGTGTCGTACGGTTTTATTGATTTTGTATAATTAGGTCGCCGACTTATATTAGGGTTTAATTAAAGCCTATAGAGATACGGTTATAATCAGACTTAAGATTGGGATGCCTATATATATATATCCTGATACATATCCTGATACGTCTGCTAGGGTTGGGAAGAACTCTATTCACGTAATAAGGTTTTGAGAGGAAACCAAAGAGAGGTCTTGAGAGGAAAACTAGAGAGAAGCTTAAGGGGAAACATAGAAGGTTTTGATGATAGCTTGTGGGGCTAAAGGAGAATGAAGGGGTTGGTTCTGGATAGAATCAAGAAGTCACATAGGAGGGTAACGGTGGCCAGAGGAGGAGAACAGTGTTGGGGTTGCCGGAATTTATAAACCCGGCGTTGAAAGGTTTCAAACCAAAACCTAAAGGCAAGTTTTATTCTATCCCCTTTCTTTAAACTTGTGTCATGTGCATTCTATATAGTCTCCAGGAATTTAATTTAACTATTAAAACGGATGTTTTATGCATGATAGAGTCTCTGTACAATTTTAGACCTCTGTTCGTATTTGAAACTATGAACTGTTGTGTTTTTATTTCAAATTTTTATCATAAATTTCACAAGAGAATTTGAGGAATTTTAGGATTGAATGAACTTGAATTGAACCCTAGGAATGTAAGAAAAATTCTGGAACGGAGGGTTAAACTTCGCTAATCGTGAAGAAGACAAACGGAGAAAACATAAACTGTTACGTTCATGGTTTAAGATTTTGCTAAGTAATTCATGCTGGAATTAAAGACATTTCTAGGCTTGTTAGGACTTAATTTGAACCTTAAAAATCTTTAACAAAGTTGGGGCAGAGGATTGAGACTTGGCCGGATGCGAAATAAGCAACACAGAGGAAACAGAGAAGGAAAAACGAAGGCTGGAGAAGTGGAGGCGGCTCCACCCTTCAATGGAGGCGGCTCCATTGAAATGGAGGTGGCTCCATCCAGCTCCACAAAGTGTTGAGGTGGGTCAACCTAAATTGGAGCCGGCTCAACCTAAAATTGGAGGCGGCTCCAATTTTTGTAAGTGCCCAGTACGTGGATTTTTGTGATTTTTGTCACTTCAGGGGCTAAAAGGCAATGCTGAACTTTGATGGGGGTTCTTAAATAATGTTTATAACACATTAAAGAAGTAGGATTGTTGGTGTAGGCTATGGGAATGGACATCATGAAATATAGAAAAAATAATTTTCGTGCTGTCAAAGAAGGAGGAAGATTTAATTGCTAGTTGTTTTAGCAAATTAAATAGACTGAATTGAAAGGTAATTTTGGGATTTTATATCAATGATTTATATAACATTATTAAGTCCCAGGAATGTTGGTTTGTACTATAGTTATAGACATCATGAAATTTAGATACTAAATTATATGCTGTCAGGAGTAATGGAAGTTGTAATTGCTAGTCTCGCTTTAGAAAACTAAATGGACTAGCATGGAGGTGGTTTTGGTATTCAAATAAAATGTGTTCAGTTTATACTTCTGTGTCTCAATATATTATGCTCTGGATTTATATTTAAGGATTAATAGACTTCGTGAAATTTTAAATACTAATTTGCATGTCGTCACAGAATATGGAAGGGTTAATGCTAGCGGCTATTTTAGTAAAGTAAACAGACTAATAGGAGTGTGGTTATAAAATCTGAGTGGGTGTGCTCAGTTTTTATATCTAAGTATCATTAGATCATACTCCGGACTTATAGTTGGGGATTAAATAGTCGCCATGAGAATTAAATATTAATTTACATGCCGACAAGGATTGAGGAGGATTTAAATGCTAGTCTTCGTTTTAATAATGTAAATGAACTAGTATGGATGTATTGGTTGGGAATTCTAGTATAATGTGCAATTTATAATTCTGATATTCATTATATTATGTTATGGATGATAATTGCTGAACTGTCATAATTTCTGTTCTGTCAATTATATGGAAATGGATGGCTTAAATTGTTTATCAGTACTTTAACAATTTAAAAGGAGGATCTATGATTATAATCATATACTGGATGCATAATAGGATCTTATCTATATTTGATTGCTATTATGTTTGTTTCTGGATATATTTGATATTCATTTGAATGTGCATCATCTGTGGATCATATGCATGTATGTACCGGTATGGGACGGTGACATACGGAGGGACGGATTAGATCAAAACGCTAATTCCAACCCAATCATACATACAGAATGGATTAACTAAAATAGCTAACTCTTACATGGATGCATGTCCTGTCAACTAAAACAGTTGAATGACATAATGGATGGTTGCTTTATTTTTCAATCTTAGGAAGGAATTTATATATATATATATATTTATGGTACCGTGGTACGAGCTTGAGTCTCCTGATCACGGTTAGGGTGCGTATATCGCCTAGGATGGATAACTGGACATAGGTGTTGTTCCCTGGTAGGTCTAGGTACATAGGTACATGTGACCACATTATATGTGATTTGCATGGTATCTATACTCAGGCTGAGACAAATCTACTGGACTAGCGAACGTCCTATAGTGTGTACTTATATCTATATGGACTACTTTAGCTATTATTGAGCTATTTAGGATGTATATGCGTATCGGGTTTATATACGGATTGTAGTAGATTGGAACTTGCATGTGGGCCTGACCCACTCTTATTTTTCAGGTGTTCGTCAGTACCAGGTTTAGAGCTTGATCGTGTTGATGCAGATACAAACTCTCACTCTTCCGACTACATAGGATTTTCTTTATTTTTTTTAGTTTTGGATTTTAATTTTGTAAACGTTTTATCAGTTGGAATTATTAGGGGTCCACTAGATGGATTCCCGAGTTGTATGGATTTGAAGGATTTAAATTATATTAATTTATTATTTAAAGTTTGAGGATTTTTATTTTAGATTTCTTTCAGCGTATTATTAATTTATTCTTAATTCAGTTTTTATTCCTGCTTGTTTACATATTGACAGCTAGTATCCCTCGGATTTGTGCTCGGACTTGATCACCCGTGGCTCTAGAATCGAGGGGTATCACAGAAACTACCCTTCTGATATACTAAATCAATTAAAAAAGCCAAAATAGTATTTTGCCAATTACTAAAATACCCTTGGTGACATTTAAGTCACCAAAGTACAAAACGACCGCGTTTTGTGTGTTGATGCGGACATAGCAATATATATATAGAGAGAATAGTTTTAGAGAGAGAAAGTGAAGGCTGTGTGATGACTTTGTCCGCTAGGGAGGTGAAATAGAGGACCCGAGATCGATGGAGAATTAGCGGAGGCGGCAGCGTATGTGGGCTTTGGTGGTGTTGATAATGCACAGAGAGCAGTGACAGAGGGTGGTGGTGAGAGCGACGTTAGAAGGCTGCACTGGAGGTGAGGACATCGTGATGTATGTAGTGTGATGATGAAGTTGAGAACACCGATAGAGAGGCAGCAGAGAGTGACGTCAAAGGGTTTTCGGCGGCGACAATCAGAGATGAAGGGACGACTTACGGTAGGGAGCGCGAAACATCGGTGAGCTCGGCTGTTGGTGGAGGCTGGTTCGGCCGTGGATGACTCGGCCTTGAATGGCTCCGGCTGACTGTGATCTAACCGTGGTGGCGATGGCAGGGAGCTGGGCACGGTGATGGCTGTCATGGCTGGGTCAGATGAAGGTCAATTTCGAAGATGGGTTTCAGTTTTGAAGCTTGGAGTACCACTCTACAGGGTTTAGCATTGCTGATTTTGGTGGTGGGTGCAACGCAATTAGCAATGAGGATGGCTTGTGGCCATCTGGTATATGGAGTTGCCGGTAGTTGGAAATGGAGATGAGCGCCATCAAGAAGAGGCAGAGCTACCGCCTTCCGGCGCATATTTACGGCTAGAGAGAAACCTCCGATCAACTATAGGCAACCAAAGTGACGCTAAACAAACCGACAATGATTGATCCGACGTTGAGTATGTTGAAAGCAGTGCCGTTTAGTGTAGGAGGTACAGTTGCAGGTTCTTTAGACAAACCATTGATTGACGAAGGACCTCCCATAGCCGGAGACGACTCAAAAGGCAGTCGTTTTGTGCTTTGGTGACTTAAATGTCACAAAGGGTATTTTAGTAATTGGTAAAATACCTATTTTGACATTTTTAATTGATTTGGTATATATCAGAAGGGTAGTTTCGTCCTTTTATCACAGACATGGTGCAATGTGAACAATTTTCATAGTGTTGGAGTTTTTAAAAGTAGGTTGGGGGTATTTGATAAAAAAAGTGATAGTTTTGAAGGTTTCGTGAAATTTGCCCTATTTTTTATTAGCAAGAAACACATTTCCTTACGCATATATTTTTATCCATAGTCGACCTCGAACCCCTCCTTCCTCTTTAAAGATAAGAGAATGCTAGACACTTTTTACTAAAGCTATAAATAAACTTAATACACAAAACTTTTTAGTTAGTTATGCTAGTTAGCATGTTTCTACTTGACTAGAATATACCTAAAAATACACCTCTAACTGTCTAGAAGTTGACTCACTTTATATGTATATATATAATTATATTGCTTTCACTTGCCAATTTTAACGTAAATATTCCATTCTTGACAGTTACAAACCAAAGGTGTAGAGAGAGAGAGCCCTCAATGGATGTCCGTGACAGCCGCCCCTACCCATCCGCTAGCAGTGTTTTTTCCCGTTAAAGCTCTCCAAATTTGCAGCAGCATGAGCTGGTCCTACTGGTCCCGTTCCTTCAGATCAATAAAGAGAAACCCCCATTCCTCCTCGGAACGGAATCGGAACGTATCCGACTATTTAATTTTATCGGTGTCCTGCCGATAATTCCACCGTTGGCCGAGGCGGTGACACTCCATTGTCCCGCCAAGGCCTCCTAACATAATTGTATTAGTGATATTCATAGTCTTTCAAAGTTATTGCATTTCTTTGTACTGTTTATATATATATAATCACCATTTAAAGGAAAAAAAAAAATGGGAGAGCCACAGTCTAATACAAAATCTATGTCATCGTCGGCCATTTCTTCCTCGGAGTCCGAAACAGAGGAGTTGGAGCGTCTAGAACACGCCCCGCCTTTTTGGAGGAATCAGAAGAGGTTGTCAAAGCAGCTGTCAATGTGTGAGACTCCTCGGGATATTGCATGGGAGAGGCGGCGCCGCCAGATTCTCAGGCAGGAGCGGAGGAAGAATGGGATAAATGACGGCGATGACTTGACGGACGAGGATCTTAGTGAGCTCAAAGGGTGCATAGAGCTAGGGTTCGGGTTCAACGAAGAGGATGGACAAAGGCTGTGCAACACGTTGCCTGCGCTTGACCTGTATTTTGCGGTGCACAGGCTTTCAACCAGCCCAGTCTCAACCCCCAACAGTAGTGGTTCGTCGTCGTCGATGTCACTCGGAGGAGGCCGGTCCTCGCCGTTCGGAAGCCCTCTCAGTGAGTCTGATGCGTTGAAGATTTGCAATCCAGGTTAATGCATGTTTAACCAATATATGATACAAACATTCATCCAGGATTAGTACACACAGCAAATAAAATAAAATAAAATAAAAATAAATAAACCCTATACTTTTAATTTTTGGCACAATATTCCCTGCCAAAAAAATAAAATAAAATAAAATAAAATAAAATAAAATAAAATAACGTTAAAATTTAGATATTCTTTAAAATGTTTTTCATTTTAAGTTTTGTTTTTCTTTATAATTTTTTAAAATGGAAACTTTAGAAAATTATAGACCGTTAAACTGATGTTATAATAATGAAAATGCCCCTTTATTTAATGGTGCGTAATTTTCAGTTATTATAAAATAACTTTAATGGTGCATAATTTTCAAATTTTTCTTACAATTCTAAATTTTAAAAATTAAAAGGGAAAAGAAAATCTAAAATGAAAACCATTTTAGAGAAAACTTAAATTTTCTTAAATTTATATAAAGGGACATTTTCGTCATTATAACATCAGTTTAATCTTGCGTAATTATCTTTAATTTCTATCTTTTAAATATTTAAAAAGAAAAAACTAAAATGAAAATCACTTTAAATAAAATTTAAATTTTTATTAAGTTATTATGACATAATTCTAATGACGAGAGATGGCAAAAAACCAAGCCGGTTGGGCCCACCCGCCCCGTTTAGAACGGTTACGGGTGGCTAAATGGTTTTGGAGTCAGGATGAGAGTTATGATTGAAAGCCCGAATGGTTATAGAGCGGGAATGGGGAAAGGTCACCTGCATTGCCCTGTTTATAGTGATAATTAAATTACAATTTCGTCGTTATCTTTCATTTTATATTCAATAATACTAGTTCTATAGCAAACAAATCTTTGTTTATTTTATTCCAATCACTAAATATTCTTTTACATTATTCTTATTTGCGAACTTCTATGTATTATTTTGATGTTCCAACAATAATTTAAGTCTTAAATTTCAATTAAGAAGTTGAATCTTATTTTTATTTGAAAAAAAAAATTATTATCATAGTTGAAAATTTATTTTATTATTTACTTTCATTGTATTCGTATTACAATTACAAAAACATTGTACAAAACCCGTCCCGCTCTGTCCCCACCGCTCCTCACCCTGCTCCGCCTCACCCTATTTAATAAGCGGTTTTGGAGCGGGAATGGAGTAGCTATTCTAAATGAGGATTGGGATCGGGATCGGGATGACGTTTCTCGTCCCAAACTGCCATTGCCATCCTTACTAATGACTAAGTAAGATTGAGGGATTGCAATAATTGAATTGTTGTTCGGGAGGGTTTTAGGTCAACTTCATATATATATATATATATATATATATATATATAAATTAGGGTAATTTATCATTTTAGTTTAACTAGATTTAAGGTCGGTGTAATTTCCATTTTTTTTATTGGCATTGATGTACTTTTGACATTTATATTAATTTTTGTGGGTTCAGGTGACAATCCCCAACAGGTGAAGACAAAGTTGAGGCATTGGGCTCAAGCAGTGGCTTGTTCGTTGAGGCAGTCCTATTGAAGGGTGAATCCATTGTACAGAACGATGGAAAGAAGAGACACACAAAGAGAAATTGTGCGTGGGAGTACCGAATTCACGTCTTGGAATTTAAATTCGACGATATTCAATTTAAAATTTGGAAAAAAAAAATTCTTTTAAATTTAAATTTCAAATGACTGATTCGGTACTTCTAAACATACTTATAAATGTACTTGGTGCCAACATAAATGGTGCATGCAACGTTCCAGCCACTTGCCATGAAGGCGATGGAGCCGACTGACTCCATTGATCTGAAGAGAGCTTTGTCCAAGTATTTTGGTTGCTTATGCTTGGATTTTTCTCACAATTTGTTTTGACAGATGTAATTTAATCAAATTTAGTGCCCTCTGAAACACAAACAAATCTCAAGAATTGTTAACATGAACAAATCTCAATTTATTTCTTGGATGGTACCCAAAAATAGAAAGGCTTGCTGGCTTCAACACCATGTAATGATCATTTCACACAACTAATCGCTAGAATTGTTAGATAGGCCCACTAGTACAATCATTATATTTGTGTTTATTAAAAAAAAATTTAAAAATTGAATTTGTTTCTTATAGTTGAAGAAGGTATATATATATATATATATATATATATATATATATAAAAATTATAGACGGTAAATCCGATATATTTAGGTATGTTAAACTGAATAGGATAAATATGAACTTTGCTAATACGTTTGCAACTATTGCCAGCTTTCCTTTAGGAGTATGTTTGCATGAAAGATCTGTATAAGTTTCTGTCAATTGTAGCGTCTCAATTAGACTATATGTGTTGGTTTTGTGGTTTAAATTCGTGCGGGATGAAGTTTTTGGAGTATTTGTACTGGTCCAACTTTTGTGGACCGGTCCAACACCCCTAGGAAATTAAATGCGAGTTGTAGAATTGGGAAATTGAAAACGATAGTGTTAGGAACTGTCCTATTTGGACTGGTCCATAATATATGGACCAGTCCATCACGTCAAATGCATGCGTGTGAATGAGTTTTTGAAGTTTTTGGAAGTTATATATGGAGCAAGATTGAAGACTCCATAAATAGAGATTGGTGTAAGAGAATTAAGGTTAATTATGTCTTTCTTGTGTGCGTGCTTTTATTTGTTTTATTTGCCAATTATGCTTGTGCAATCCTAACAACTGATATCAGAGTTAGGGCGACAACTATTAAAGATGGAAAGAACTTTTAAAGATGGAAAGTACATGGTCGAGAAGTTTGATAGATGAAGGAACTTTAGTCTTTTGCAAGTTTAGATACGGGATTTACTTATTCACCATGGTCTAGGACAGGTTTTTGGCACGAAATCGAAGAAGATGGAAGATGCAGATTTGGAGAAGATCAACTCAAAAGCAATGAGTGTGATTCTATTAACGTTGGCGGATTATATTGTGTATTACTTGATATAAAAAGATTTAGTAGCGGACATGTGGAAGATGTTGGAGAATTTGTATACGGAAAAGAATCTCACCAACCAGTTAGTCTTGAAGCTAGAGTTGTATTCCTTTTAGAGAAAAATAGGTGTAAGCTTATAAAAATATCTTGGTGAGTTCAAAAAAATTATTTGTCATTTATCTAATGTTGATGTCAAGTTGAGTGATGACGATAAAACAATTATTTTGCTAACATTGATATGCTATACCCACAAGTGTTTATTAGCTTTATGGGAGAGATACAATCTCAGTGGAACAAAAGTACTTTGTTCTCTAATGAAAACTTGAATGATGTAGAGAGTCATGTTGCTCAAACTCAAGTTCTTATTATTCAAGAGAAGAAGAAATTCGGAGCTTCAAGAAACTTTATGCCATTATTAGAGAAAAGATGCTACAATTGTGGGAGAAAAGGGTTTAGTGGTATTATCCAGAAAGAAATGAGAGTGCATCTGCTACTGTTGTTGTGTCTGAAATTATGAAAGAAGGGAGTGATAATGATGAAGCATTATCAATCATTGATAATAAGGGAGATGCTAAGAAGTGATTAATACTTTATTATGGTTGTTCTTTTTATGTGTGTCCTCATAAAAAGTGGTTTGCCACCTACAAACCAGTAGGTGTTGAGGTATTTTATAGGGGATAATGCTTCTCGTGATATTATAGAAATTAGAACAATCAAAATCAAGACAACGAATTGTTTTTTAAGAACCCTAACTAATGTATGTCATATTATAAGTGTTAAAAGAAATGTGATCTCTATGGGAGCATTGGATTCCAAGGGTTGTTGGTGTGAAGTGAAGAATTGATTGATGAAGATCAATAACCTTTATATTTTTGGAAGAAAGATCAATAACTTTTATATTTTGTTGGGAAATACTATGCTGGGTGGAACAATTGCAAAAACATAATGAAAGCCTATTTCGAGATCTGCTTGAGTGGAAAGAGAAGGAAGAAGTCTTGGCAATTGCAAGAGCACCAACATTTATCTCAGAAGCAAGAAAAGTTCGATTTGGTGATATGAAATTAGATTCTAGATTCAATTATTTGAATTTAAAAATTGCTAGGAATAAATGTGTGGTGGAATGGCGAAGAATGACAAGAAGAAAGAAGATGTAGGTTCAAAGTGGAGGGATTTTTAATTAAGGTCGAGCTATGAAGTAGTGCGTAAAGACCGAATTCGAGCCAAGGTGGAGATTGTTGGGTTTGTAGCTTAAATTCGTGTGGGGTGAAGTTTTTGGAGTATTTGAACTGGTTCAACTTTTGTGGACCGGTCCACCACACTGGGTAATTAAACATGAAAATGTTAAAGGCTATTGGAAAAGTTGCACAGGTCCAACTTATATGGACCGGTCCAATAAAGCTAAAGCTTGTAGAACTAGGAAATTAAAAACGATAGTGTTGGGAACTGCCCTATTTAGATGGTCCAAATATTATGGATGATCCAAATATTATGGACGATCTAAATATTATGGACTGGTTCATCATGTCTGATACATGTGCATGAATGAGAATCCTATTCTTATTTATGAAGTTGTGGTGAAAGATTGATATGTTAACTCCTGGTAAGCAAGTGTTGGAATTCTTGTCCACCAAGGAATTAATTTGAAGACTCTAGGAATAGAGATGGGTGTGAGAGATTAGGGTTGAGAGAGATAATTATGGAAGGAAAATTTGAGTTGAGTTTTTGATGAGAGAAAGAGTGTGTAATCAAGTTTTGACACCCGTAACCTGCCAGTGTGGTAACTCGCCCACACCTTCACCTTCCTGGACGATATAGGACATGATGAAGAGAGCTTTGTCTAATGTAAATGTCTGATTCGGTGCTCCCAAACAACCTATAAATTAACCTCCATTGTTTCAAGTACATTCTTTCCTGAATTTGTTAGACCTTTATACACTTCCCATATTACTACGTTCTTACATAGGAACTCGCTACGTGTCAGCAAACTATTGGTTGTTAACCTTAATTTTTATTTTATTTTTGGATTTCCAGTTCTCTTTACACTCTCTCTAACCTTTCTCAACAACTTCTAAAAACATAATAATAATAAATAAATAAACCTCTATAGACCTGTGAAGACCTGTCATTTTTTCATTTTTCTGTATTTTTTTTTTCCCAGTTATTTTTTGGGTTCGGGTTTTGTTGGACCAGGCCGAGTTAAGTGCTCGGGAATATTTCTTGACACTTCTCTCATTTCATCCCTGCATATTTTACCCTTATGTCATTATGAATTTGTATTGCACTTTTATGTGTTTTATCTTTTATTTCCTTGGGGGTATTTGTGCGATTATCTTTTGAAGATATTTTTATTTGGGATTTTTGTGCGATTATCTTTTAGAGATATTTTCATTTGGGGAAATAGAGTGATTATATTTTGGGATATTTTTCATTGAGGGAATTTTGTGCAAATAGTGAAAGTTTGTGCCAAATGTTGTGTTTTGATTGGGTTATGTGTTGAAGTGGGATTGGTGGCATGTGGAGGTCTAGGACATTGACAAGTGGAGGGTAGAGATACGCGTATGTGAGAGAGGTAGTGTTAGGGTTGGTGTATGTGACTTATATCATTTGCCTTTACTAATTTTTTCTCTTACACTTCTTCTTCCTTACTTTCTCTCACAAGACTCCATTGAGGCCACACCTTTAACCTTCATCTTCATTGATATTTTGGGCTTTCCATTGAAGGAAGAAAGCTTGGGAACTCAAAGGTCAACATAACCCATTCTTTTGTTTTGTAATTGGGACAATTTTCTTCTTAGATTGCTAGGGCTGCTTTCCCTAGTGAGGTAGGGGTGTAGTATAATTTTAACCTAGTGTTTTCATTGTATTTTGGAGAGTATCATGTGTTATGCTTGTGTTGTGTGAGTTGTGAGGGTTTTACTTAAATTTTTGCTTTTAACCTAAGTTTACATGATGTTATAAAACATGAGTATTAATGGTTTTGTAATTCAATTGTTCATATGATTATGTGATTTAATTTGACTTCCTTGATATTTGTGTTTGGTTGCATTTATATGACTTTCATGTATGTGCTTTAGTATAGAATATATATGAAATCTTTTGAATGAGTTGTGTAGAAATTGTATATTGGTTTAATAACTTTTGTATTGTTGATTTAAACATTAGGTTGCTAGAGTACTTTGGAAGTTGTATTGCTAGTATGATGATAGCCTTGTTGCTTGGATATATATACAATTGTAATGTATATCCTCTTATCTATATTCATGCCATGAGTTAATGTTGAGGAACTTAGGGCATAGTTTGTGTGAATTGTAAACTTGGTGTGCTTGTCGAATGCATTACTTGTCTTAAAATGTATATAATACATTAGGAGATTCTTGTTGATTTTTGGGAGATACTTGGACAATTGATACTTTGAGAATGCGATGATGAGTTGTTGGTTTTTTTTTTTTTTTTTTTTTTTTTTTTAAAGAAGGGGAGCATGATGTAGTACAATAATGAACAATACATTGTGTAAACAGTGTTTTCTAGTTTCTACTTTCTGTTTTAGGAAAGATTTCATTGTTTTAATTTCTTATTATTTTAGTGTCTGTTTTAGAAAAGTTTTCATTGTTTTAATTTCTTAAGTAGTTAGTTTTGTTTTAGGAAAGTTTCCATTAATTTAATTTCCTATATAGTTTAGGATTTTCTTAGGCCTATAAATACATGATATTGTAATAGTTTAGGAAACAATTTTACTATAATCAATATCAGAAAATCGAGAGTTTCTCTCAACCTCTTCTAATGGATTCGAGTGTTTAAAGAATACGTTGTTATTCTTAATTATTTTTCTTGCTTTCATTGATCCACTGCGTTAATACCCCAAAATTTTTCCTGAGGATACTACAAAGGTACATTTGCTTAGATTCAACCGAATATTATGTGCCCTAAGCACATCAAAAGTCTCCTGTAAATCTGTTAGGTGGCACCACTATTCTTCAACCCGAACGGATTACAGGAATACAGACCAATGTAAGTGATGAAAGAAATTTTTTCACTGTCAGGAGCATACATGGGG